CCTCACCATTTATTTCCTCGGTGGGCTTTTGTTTCTTTTTGCAAAGGAGAAATTAGAGTGTTGGTTCTCGATGTTCTAAAATTTTGTACCTTAGTCCTTAGATTTCATAATTCTACAATTTGATCCTCAGTCTCACCAATTTATTCATCCTTTAACTTTGTGAATCATGGTGATTTAGTTTCAAATTTATGATTTTAAGAAGTCTATCCTACACAAATAATGGGAATAATGTAAAATCAAATAAAATCATATTAAATCTATTCAAATATTAATAAAATCAGAGATAAATTAGCATTATATTATGTACAAGAAATCAACCCATCAACTCATCAAGTAATATAGGAAAAGTTGGTACATTTTTGTATTGAAGTTTTGTTAAAACTTTTGTTAGGCTGTCAAGACTAGATTTTTCATATCAAAAAGAGAAAAAAAAATAGAAAAATGGAACCAAAAGGAGGATTTTGATACAATGGTTGAAGACAACTTCTGAAAGAATACTGCAATCCTTAAGGTATATATAGAGGTAAGTGAAAAAGAATTAAAAAATAATATTAAACAGTTGTGCTTCTTATATTAACTTAAAACATTTTTAATATATTGTGGGAGATAGAAGGGTAGAAAAATGTAATCTCAATTGTAACTATTATATCAAGATTTGTAATTGAAGAATAAAAAGCAACATGATACAAATGATAATTATTGTTTTATTAAAATATCAACTGTTAATAACATAGAAACACTAAGAACCCAAGGCCTAGTAAATAATAAGGACTTTTGCAATTAAAAATGTTCCATTTCCCTAGGATAACCACTAAAAATTGGAAAAAAAAATAAAGATAAAACTAAAATGAAAAGATTTAATGTTATAAAATTGAAATAGTCTCAAATTTAATTTGATCAATTGAAAGTAGACCTAGCAAACGGACGGGTTGGGTTGGGTTCTGGTCGGGTCAACTCGAGTGACAAGTTATATGGGTTGGGTTATAAACGGATTACGGGTTGAAAAAGTCTAAACCTAACCCGATCCTAATGGGTTACGGGTTAACCCGCGGGTGCACTACTAGAATTCATAATTTCACCGAGGAGAAATCATGTCGGAAATAAAGGTAATCAAGTCGGTAAAACAAGGTTCCAACTTGGATCATGTCGGAAATAGCTTTGTCGGTGAAAGTGGGCTCGGTAATTCATTTACCGATGTAGCTTTAAGTCACGTCGGTAAATGGCTAAAAATTACCGACTAAAAGCATGTCTTTAACCCTCTAGCCAGAATAGTACTGTCAGAGCACTTTTCACGTCGGTAAAACAAAATCAATTACCGACAAGATTGTTGTCTGCAACTGTCTTGCCGGAATAGTATTGCAGGGCACTTTTCACGTTGGTAAATTACCGACTAAGCTGATGTTTGTAATTTATATTTTTTTATAGTATATCTCACTATTTTACCGACAAGGTAACAATCGGCCTTTATTTTTCCACAACCATTAAAATACTCCAAAATCATTAATTTATGGATGAAATGAAGTTTCTGTACAAATTCTGCAACGAAAAAAAAAATTCTGGTTACCAACAAAAATAACATTGATATATATAATTGAATAGTATAATAAAAAATTTTAAAGTTACCTCAATTAGAGAGTAGATACTTATAGAGCACCATTTTCTACAAAAAAAAAAAGTGATAAAATATAAATTAATATAATATTTATATATAATTTCAAC